ATGTTTTCCCGGATTGAGGTGCCTGCAGCACAACCAAATACCCGTTTTCTTATCACCTTACTAACACGCTGACGCCATCCGAAACCAGCCACGCTTCTGAGGCATCGGTGGTCGAAAACCTGAAGATGCCTCACATCATCTGTCCACAGAGGCCATGTCTCGCACAGCCCTTACTGTAGCCTAGTACACACGACCCTTAAGATCCAGTGAGATGCCTTTCGACGCCGCGACGCACGCAAATTACAAACGTGATTCGAGCCTTCGAGATTCTTGCACTGACTTCATCAGACACTTTCGTCAGAGCAAATACACCCATCGAGGTATGTAAAACTTTCCACATCAGTCGTTAGTCGTCTCGCCTCTTTGATAACAATGGGTTAAAAACGTTCGACTGACTTGCGGAGAGTAGAACCTAAAGTGAATTCGCTTAAATTGTTGCTATGTCGGAAGTTAAGTGCCTGAAACGCAAACTTGACAGCATCTATTATCCATAATTTAGGTCATAGACAGGGTGAGCTCTCTCGTACCATTCCAATCGGCCAAGCAAGGTCCCACAGAAAACTGTTAACTGATGGTTAATCGATAACCAGACGCGTGTTCGGAGGTGAGCCGGTCTCGAAAACCGAAAGTCACATCGGTTGGACGGATATGTCGCAGGCTAATTACGAAGCGAATGCATTGATCGATCAGCATGTCGGCCAATCAGGACCAAGCGCTCGTAACTCGACCCTTCTTGCCCCCCCCCCCCCACGAAGGTTCTGGCCTGACCTTGTGAGGAATCACGTGTTTACTCCATAAATACGGTTGTCTCCTTATGGGACCAGTCCAAGCTACCGTGCTTTTTGGCAGTGTGCGGAACAGGAAGCTAAGGACCGAATTGGAAGTTGCGGTACCGCCTTCATGACACAATGATGCATAACCATTTTTCTCAGGAATCCCTTATCCTGGCCCATTACCTCGATTACAGACACTCCAAAATATATGGTTCTATCCCAGTCTTCCAGGATTGTAGAAGTTTTCAGCAGAAACCCATCAGTGCCGTTGCCTGCAACGATGCAGGTTACCTTCTAATCAGTAATTGCAATTTACTCTCCTTGGAGTCGTGGACTCCAAAATATATGGTTCTATCCCAGTCTTCCAGGATTGTAGAAGTTTTCAGCAGAAACCCATCAGTGCCGTTGCCTGCAACGATGCAGGTTACCTTCTAATCAGTAATTGCAATTTACTCTCTTTGGAGTCGTGGACCCTAAAACAACAAGTCCGGGTAAAAAACGGGGGTCTGAAACACTTGGTGAAAAAACATTATATATATATATATACATATATATATTCTTCATCTCAACAGAGGATTGATATGTAGAGAATAGTAAGTGAAACGGAATTCGATAGTTTGCTCAGCCTTGGATACAAGAAAAAAGACTGGAATGACGAATTGTAAGTAGCCTTCCCAAAGACTAGTAGGACAATAAATACAGCAAGGGATAGGGCATCACTGGCAAGCTCTGAGGAATGCATGTCATGATGGCAGCGGTAAAAATGACAGCTATGCCCCCGTCGATTTGCAAGAGGCTAAGTTTCCAGTTAAAAGTGGATCGTCAAAGGGGTAGATTACTCTTTCTATGTCCGGTTCGGTGGGTCAAAGTGTGAAGTAGATTATCCATCCCACACAAGCAGCAGCTATTCAAGTAAAATTGGGAACCAGTTAGTGTGTGAGGAAAGAAAGAAATACAGCCCTGAGTCTTGACCAGACTTCAAAATGGGAATTTTCATTGTGCACCGAAAAACGAATTCTCGGCCGTTGGTCCCAATCAACTTGATTTGGCTCTATCCACACGGTATTGGTGGGTTTCTTGCAGCAAGAAAGCCAGACTGAGAAGGGGAGGGAAAAACTGACATCAGTCACTTCGGGAACAGTTCCTTTTCTTCGCTATCAGTGTGAGCTTATCATCTAGACGGCAGTGAGGGATAAAGAGATACAACATCCACATGAACCCATAGGTTACCTATAGATAGATATAAAACTGGTTCATGTTTACAGGACTAAAAGCGTATGCAGCGATTTCCCAGCTCTCTGGTAAGTAATTTCAAAATATTCTGTTCGAAGCCGTCACCGACGTAAAAATGTTGACTGGTTTCGGGCATGAAAAAAACCTGACCAACCAAATGGGATATCTTGGAAAAACAATATAAAGATGGAGGTTTGAGGTGCGAACATTGCTAGCAATCGTCCTTCTGGAGTCGTCAGTTAGGTTTGTAGAGACTGTTAAGGCAGAAAAAAGTTTTACGGTATGACGTGCTCGCAAAGAATGATACCAATCGTTGAAAACACCAAGGTAGTGAAATTTCCGCAACGCAGTTTGAACACAAAACGGATCTGACTAGCTCGAAAACTACACCAGAGTTCAACGCGGCGGTAACTATTCTCATTTTTGGAGCACACAATATTGAGATATTTTTGCCCAGAAAGCCTTTGAACCAAGAGGCAGGATATACTCGAAGAAACTTCATAACATACAGAAAGATTTGGTAAACTTCCTTGTAAAGAACTCAACCCGGTATGTTACCTAATCAGATGGACATCCCATTCTATCATTCTCACAAAGTCCCATTTATCACCACTGACAAGGTCCCACAAATAGCAAAAAACTTTTTGGACTTGAGATGACATTTTCCTGACATC